TCGAGTTTGTTTTTCGATTTTGTGTTGATGCTCGATTCTAGGTTTTCGCTCTATTTTCATTGCCTGCTTTGGTGTGTTAGGATTCGATATGTGCTTATCTAGAAAGATTGCGACTTTGCTCAAAGCGTAATGATTTAGTGTAGAAAGCTCGTGCTAGAAGACCTAGGATCGCTATGCTTGCATGATTTCTCTTGTTATTTTTCTTTTTCTTGAGTCATGGGGATTCCAGTAGACCAATGTTTCGATCTTTTTTCTCTATATTTGCATTTTCCATCATTCGCCCTTAGATTCGTAGTTCAAGTGCGTGCAATCATCCCCTAATCAAGCGAGTAGCATGTTTAGGACCTTGATTTCGGTTGTGTGACTTTGACGACTAGGTAGTAAACGAAGCTCCGAATAGCCTTCCTTTGAGAACGACCCGAGTCGGGTAGCTCGGTTACCACATGCCCAAAAATACTACAAACACCTAGCACCAACATAAACAAAACACGAAAAAACAAACACCCAAGACTCCAACAAAGTGGAGGAAGAAACTCCAACAAGTGGAGGCAGAAACTCCCATACGGGAGGTCCAAAAGACAAACTAAAACTAAAACTACTACCCATCAAACTAAACATAACGAAACAAAATAAACAAGCTTAAACAAAATCAGATCCCTCCCCTGTCGGAACACTAACCCAATGCCAAACAAAGCCTAATGAACATCTGAGCAAGCGACCAATCGAAAAGCAACCTCAAGATCTACAGCCCAGCCCAACAAGTCGGACGATTCACAAACAGGCTCGCCATGGCCAGACCTCAAGCCTGAAATCTCCATCCAAGACCGCCAATGCGCCCCGGCTGGTAACCCAACACAGCCCCCTCCAGCACACTCTATCACTGCCAAAAACGTCGACACCGCCAGAGGGAACCAGGGCATTACCTCCACTGAAGATCTCCACAAAGGCATCCACGGTGGCCGCCGGATACAGCGTCGACTGTAACCCACCTCGAACACTCCCTTCGTGGCGCTCCCGAAACGAGCGGAAACCACCTCTGGGATGGATCTTCGCGAAATTGTCGCCAAGCTGCACCAGCGAGCCTAAGGCAAGCCAGATTCTCGCCGGAATTGCAAGGCCAAGGGTCGCCGGAGGAGAGTAGTACTCAGAAGGAGGCGGAAACCTAGGGCACAACGGATTTGGGTTTTTAGGTTTATAGAGAGAGAGTTTTTGGTGGAGGTTTTTAGGTCAATTCACTACCATTTTGTAGTTAAATTGGCCTTTTTTTAGTTAAGTTGGCGAAAACACGCGTCAACAGTCATTTATCTTCTTTGTGGTCCAAAAAGGTAAAACAATTGTATACGAGCTGAAGTACCCATCTTCTTTTGTTGTCCAAAAAGGTAGAACAATTGTATGCGAGCTGAAGTGCCCATTTTTTCTCTTTCGTGATTTATATGTGAAATTTCGGTTCTTAGAAGTAGTTTATCCAAACCTTAAAATTATAAAATACTTAATGAATTTTCATAAAAATATATGTTAAAATTTTAATTTTCTTATTTATTATTGATTTTTCATAATTGATAATATTTTGATAATTTTCTATTTAACATCTATATTTCATGTATAAAAATTTCTATATAACTTAATAAACAAAAGAAAAATATATACATTAACTATCAATACAATTGAAAAAATAAATTAACCGAGTCGACACAATCCTCCGTTTTTCTGACGGTCAAGTCGTCCGTCACCCGAACAAATATCGTCCTTGCTACTAGCTCTTACAGTACAAGCGTTGTGCACCTATAGAGACTCCTCACAGTCACAGGCATGCGCCGGCCACAAAAATGGCAGATGTTCCCGACGATGAGAAGGACATTGAGAAGCTTTACTAGTGTGGAGAACGCCTCAACGAAGTCAAGGATAAGTCTCAGGTTCGTAAAATCCTTTTTTTCCGTTTGATGTTAGGGTTTCATCAATTGGATCACTGATGTTAATTCCGGTATAATGGCCTGTAAATTGGTCTGATGTTACAAAGTATAATGGCCTCAAAATTCCAATTTAGACGCCTTATTTATATATGCATGTACCTTTCTACCATGTATCATGCATGTGAGATCGAATGTCTTGCTATGTGAACTGGACTCGGTTGACAATAAAGAAGTAGCTTCTTATATCGATGAAGGACATCAACATTGAGGAGATTGAAAAGGACAAGGAATGATCCCTAATGGGAGCTGAAGTTTCTCCTGATTCTAATGAAGGTTATCAACATTACGGAAATTCTTCTGGACCCATTGGTAAAGGAAGACTCCCTAGCTCGATTTTCGAAAAAGCATCACGTGGACAAGGAACGCTCCCTGATGAGAGTGCTGGTAGTGAGCCTTGTGTATTACCCGGAGATGCTGGCAGTGAGCCTTGTGTACTCCTCAGATTGCCCGATACTTGACTCGACAGTGGGGTCCCGTAGGCATTCATACTTGTCGACCATTATTATCCTCTTGCAGAACGATGTTGGTGGGTTGAATGCACGTGACCAAGAGCAGTGGATACTTGTTACGCCTATAAAAGGTGCATTAATTGTTAATGTAGAGGATACTTTGCAGATCCTCAGCAATGGCAACTATTAAAGCATTAAGCACCGAGTTTCTTGACGGGGAATAGGAACAGGGTCTCTGTTCAAATATTTCCCAATGCCTTGATTGGCTTAATCATTGGGCCTTTTCTGGGGGAATTTAGCCATGACGAAAAGCCCAAGTACAAGCATGTAATGTTTGGAGACTACTTTAAAAAAATTTTGGGCAAAGGTCATCATGGCAAGCTGGCGTCAATTTTGCAATCATATGATTCAATGCTTGTTGTCTAGAATTAGGACAATGTATCTGCTGTAGTTTGTAATGATAAGAAATGAGTAGTTGAGTTCATATGGCTCTTGTCACACCAATTTATAAATTCGATAGACTCATCAATTTCTTTGTTAAAAAATAAGCTGCCCATGATCCCCTGCAAAAATCAAGAAATGCTACAAGTTGCTTGACATTAGAGTAAATTAATATTTTGTGAATACTTTGTTAACAATTCCAACATCTGCAACAACAAGTCTCAGCTAAGCTCCAACCATGGTTCCTTTTGTGTTTCTTTAACAGACATATTGGCTGTAAAAGTATTACCAATGTGAAAATGGCATTATTTAAAGTCGTGCTAAAAAAATGACAAATAGTGATTTTCTATAGGATTCATGAGAATTATATGTGTAGGAATAATTCATCCTTGAAAGAACAGTCGCCAAAATGTCATGCGAAGAGTGTAAGCACAATAGAAACAAAATCAACACACAAATTAAATCTTTGACCTATATACAAGTTAAAACATTTGTAGATCGATGTAAACATGGCGAAATATTTAGCTAGTAACCCTGTTTGGGAAAATTTTATAAATGATTCACTAATTTGGCCTATTTACACAATTTTATAAAAAGCTGGCGTGGCGTGGGGGGATATAGTAATGATGTCGTGTGTGATGAGTTGATGAGGTGGTGGGATAATTTAATCTCTTAATATGTTTTTTTTTTTTATTTTAAATATAATATATAAAAATTAATAATTTATAATAAGTTACTTATAAAACTAAAACAAAATTTGGTAAAATAATTACTTATAAAACCTATAATATCATTTGTGGAGAGAGGTGTGAAATTGGTACTATGAACTTAGCAAACGGTAAATTAGCCTAAATTGTAAATGGTGGAGTGCTATAAATAATGGCAAGTGATGCCACTGTCTACACCAAAACATTTATTTCGTATTTCCACTCACAAACGTTCCTTTTGCTTTTCTCTTTGTATATATCTGTTGTAGATATTTTTACCGGAGTTAAATCAAATGATTCAATCCCAGAGTCATGTCTCAAGGAAGGCTGGCCGGATTACATTGCACGTGTATTCAATCACAAAAAGAGAAAATAAATCCTAAACACTCTAATTCAATTGTTTTTAGTTTTGATTAACTACTACTATTCTAAAACTAAGCAAGACGAGATTCCAATTGCAAATAAATTCACTTAATGATAAAAGAACTAGGGAGTCGGGGATAACTGCTTTCAGTTCCAACACAATTACCGGGAAATTAGTTGCTCGGTTAAAGGACTTGAATCGTATACTCGTCCAGAGGTTCACTCTCAATAACTTTTCGTGACAAGAGAGTGAATGTAAAAGATCAACTATCAAATCCAATAACACATAGATAATACAATAACGAACAAGTCTATTCTAAACGAGCCTAAATAGACCGACTTCTCCCCTTTCGGTTATAAAAGTCGATTAACTAGGTTAGAATGGTGATCAATCAACTAATCCTAGAATTCATACAAGTCGCATAGGTTGAGCAATTAACAACCACATTATTGAAAACTAATCGAAACAATCATCCCATATCCCTAGCTTACAAAATTAGCCACTCATCGTAAATTCAACACGCAAATTCACATCAACCAAAATAATAATCATCATAACAAAACGAAAAGAAGTGCTTACGATTAATGTAAAATCCAATGTCGAAAACAAGGTGTAACCTGATCCCACGAGACGAAAATCTTAGAGTTTTCACTCCAAGATTGAATCCAAGTGAATCCAAGGAGAGAAATACGTTTATGCTAGGGAAAATTCAAAAATACAATGTCTGGAATCTGTAAGAACTGCCCTCAAATCGATTAAGCCCTCTCATTCAGAATCTAAGAAAATCGCTTCAATTAAGAAACAGGGGTTAGCGCTGCTAAGGTTTAAGTACGGTGCATTCTAGGGTCATTAATCTGGGGTAGCGGCACTAAGGCCTGGGCAGCCCCTAAAATTTGTCGTTCTGGACTCGCGTGCTCTCGGCTATCGTCTCTCGGGTTCTGCCTAAGCTGGGAACTTGATTTCCGCATGTTTTGGTCACACAAAACGATAGGAACTCCTAGAAACCTAGACGGCATACTTCACTTCTCTTCTGGGGACTCATAATCTGGTCAACCTAAAACCTGAAACCACCACAAACGGAAAAACACGAAAAACAAGAAAAAAAGGAAGAACAACAAAGGATGTACCAAACACACCAAAATAAAGATAAAAGTACAATAAACGACTAGACGGACTAGAAAAACCTAATAAACAACTAAAAATGGAAGAAAAGACAAATAAGATACCAACAAAAATGGGGCAAACAATATCGAATAGAAAAAAGAAAATGTCTCAACCAGAAAATTTAATAGATTTCATGTTAACAAATGACCATGAGGTGAAGGGGTTATCACAACTAAACATTGTGAAACTCCCAAAAACATTTGTTCACCTTTCGTTTGAGGGGTTGGACATCATTAAAGTTGTCGAGGAAAAATCTATATTGTTGATTGACGTGTCCAATTAAGACAACTCCAATGTTGCCCACTCCATTTGTGAGGCAACCATCAAATGGGGTTTCTTTCAAATAATGAACCATGGGATTCACGTCTGGGGTTTGGACGAAGTGATCCAGTGCACTCGTGATTTCTTCGAGCTGTCCGTCGACGAGCGCAAAAAGTATCTCCCGAAAAATTCACAGACTGCAATTGTGACCCTTAAGAGCAGCTTTAGCGCTCGTGTTGAGGATTACATGAATTGAAAGGGTCACCTAGTCTATCTTGTTGACCACCAAGCTGAAAAAGAGCCCGAATTTTGACTTATTGTTACAAGGTATAATGGCCTCAAAATTCCAATTAAGACACCTTATTTATATATGATGCACTTTTTACCATGCATCATGCATGCATGACCGAATATCTTGTTATGTGAACTGGACTCGGTTGACAATAAAGAAGTTGCTTATGATTCTGATGAAGGGCATCAACATCAAGGAGATTGACGTAGACAAAGAATGTTCCCTGATGAGAGTGCTGGCAGCGAGCCTTGTGTACTACCCGAGACCTGACTTGGCAGTGGGGTCCAGCCGGCATTCGAACTTGTCGTCCATTACTCTTCTCTTGTAGGACAATGTTGGTGGATTTATACACGTGACCAAGAGCAGTGGATGTTTGTTGCGCCTACAAAAGGGGCACTAATTATCAATGTAGGGGTTACATTGCAAGTCCTCAGCAATGGCAAATATCAAAGCATTGAGCACCAAATTTTCTTGACGGGGAATAGAAGCAGGGTCTCTGTCCCCATATTTGTCAATGCCTTGAGTGACTCAATCATTAGGCCTATGCCGGAGGCGTTGTACCATGCAAAAAAACCCAAGTACAAGCATGTCATGTTTGGAGACTACTTCAAACATTTTCTGAGCAAAGGTCAAGATGGCAAGCATGTCATCAATTTGCAGCATATGATTCAAATGCTTGTAATTTGTTTAAAATTAGAACAATGTATCTATTGCAATTTGTAATGATAAGGAATGAGTAGTTGAGTTCACATGGCTCTTGTCACACTAGTTTGTAAATTCGATAGACTCCACAATTCCTTTGTTGAAAAAGAAGGTATACGTGATACCTTCATACCAAGGAATTCTAGAGTCTATATAATTTACAAACTGGTGTGACAAGAGCCATGTGAAATCAACTACTCATCCCTAATCATTACAAACTGTAGTAGATACATTGTTCTAATTCCAAACAAATTACAAGAATTGAATCTTATGGTGCAAAATTGATGGCTTGCTTGACATCTTGACTTGTGCTCAAAAAATGTTTGAAGTAGCCTCCAAACATGACATACTTATACTTGGGCTTTTTGCCATGGCCCAACACCTCAGGCAGAGGCCCAAGGATTAAGTCACTCAAGGCATTGGCAAAAATAGGGATAAAGAACCTGTTCATATTCCCCGTTAAGAAAACTCGGTGCTCAATGCTTTGATATTTGTCATTGCTGAGGATCTGCAATGTATCCCCTACATTGACAATTAATGCACCTCTTGTAGGAGCAACAAGCATCCACTACACTTGGTCACGTGCATACAGCCCACCAACATCATCTTACAAGAGAAGAGTAATGGACGACAAGTCCGATGCCGACCGGACCTCACTGCCAACTCAGGTCTCAGGTAGTACACAAGGCTCGCTGCCAGCACTTCCATCAGAAAGCGTTCTTTGTCCTCGTCAATCTCCTCAATGTTGATGCCCTTCATGAATATCATGAGCAACTTCTTTATCGTCAATCGAGTCCAGTTCACATAACAAAACATTCAGCCTCTGCATGCATGATGCATGGTAAAAAGTGCAAAATAAGGTGTCTTAATTGGAACTTTGAGGCCATTATACCTTGTAACAACATGTCAAAATTTGGACTCTTTTCCACCTCGGTGGTCCACAAGATGGACCATGTGACGCTTTCAATCTATGTAATACTCAACACGAGCGCTAAAACTGCTCTTAAGGGTCACAGTTGCATTCTGTGAATTTTCTGGGAGATACTTCTTGCGCTCGTCCACGGGCAGCTCGAAGAAGTCATGTGCGCACATGATCACGTCGTCAAAACCTCGATGGGAATCGTGTGGTTGATTATTTAAAAAGAACCCCATCGGGTGGTTGCCTCACAAATGGAGTGTGAAACGTTAGAGTTGTCCGAATTGGACACGTAGATCAACGGTATAGATTTTCTCTCGGCATCTTTAATAATGTCCAACCTCTCATACGACGGGTGAACAAACTTTTCTGGGAGTTTCACAAGGTTTAGTTGTGATAACCCCTTCACCCCATGGTCATGTGTTAACATGAACTCCATTAAGTTTTCTGGTTGAGACATTTTATTTTTTCTATTTGCAAAGAGAAAACTACAAGGAAGCTTTGTGAGGGAAATAATTGTTGGTGGAATAAATATTTTGGTTTAGACAGTGTCATCATTAGCCATTATTTATAGCACTCCAACATTTACAATTAGGTCTAATATACAATTAGCCAAATTCATTGGAACAATTTCACAAATTTCTCCAAAAATGATATTAGTTTTATAAGTAATTATTTTACCAAATTCTGTTTGAGTTTTATCTATTCTCACGCCAAACTTTTTCTATTATCTAATGCAACTTTTGATATTAAGTCCATTCCAGACAGACCGGCTTGTAAGAAAATGACGAGAAGAAATGGCTTCACCTTTTGCAACAAAAGGCACATAGTTTCGGTTGTCATCTTTCTTCTTCTTGAGTGAGAGAATTTTAAGGCGTAATAATAGTATTTTTCGGGAAATAGTATTATTTTACGCCTTTAAACTCTCTCACTCAAGAAGAAGAAAGATGACAACCGAAACTATGCGCCTTCTGTTGCAAAAGGCGAAGCCATTTCTTCTCGTCATTTTCTTACAAGCCGGTCTGTCCGGAATGGCATCATATCATTGTAACAAAAAAAAAAATTACATGTAAATATTGTATTAAAAGATTTTGCAATTAAACTACTATGTATCCCAAATCAAATTGTTTTAAAGAATAAATTTGGTTATTTAGTTATTTGTGACTATAAATATTTATACAATAATAATGTAAAACATTTTTTTTTTAATAAAATTCTAGACATATCTTCTCAATTTGTTCTTAATTTTCTATTAGCTAATTAACAATAACTTTAATACATTCACAACACCATTTGTTTTTCATATATTGTTTTTCATATATTGATTGGTTGGAAAAAGTATGCATTTTATATATTTATTAATGTATGTTTATATGCTTAATTTTTTTGCATTTATATATTTTTCGATTATTAATTTATTAGATGGATTTAGGTGTTATGATATATTTATCGTTATTTTTAGGACATTTGAGTATTTTCATGGGCAGCGTGACGTCGAACGATAATTGAGTAGTGTAGTACAACCCCATACCAGCTCATTTTTGGCCCATATCTATCATTATATAAAAAGTATAATATTTTTATGATTTCCCGCCAAAATCATTTAATGAATAAATGCGGCGCTGTTTTTTCTGATGGTTCCATTTTTCCTATTCTATAATTTAACAAAATAACAGATTGTGTTGATTTGTTTCTCTTAAAAAACCGACGATAGTTTTTGTGATGTTCCCTTTTTTTCCTATTTTTTAGGTTAACAAAATAACAGATTGTGTTGAAAGTATATGCAATCAATTTTTGTTAGATGGAAGTAACGCCATAATAATAATTTTGAAATTGTATGTAATTAAATTAGACTTATAATATTTTAGATACTTTAAAAAAATTATTTAGATATTTTTTTTACATATTTGTCTATATATATAGATACACACGCTATATATATACACACATATATACATAATTGATGTTAAATTTAAATATTCGTAAACATGTCGTCTTTACAAAATAGTCTACAAAAATCTTTTTTACACAATGCTTAATTCAAATGTTTTTAGATATGTTTTCTTTCTAAAATTGTTTAGAAAAAGTTGTAGGTGACTTCCCAAAATTTTGAATACTTTCACATATACTAATATAATATTTTAGGTGTTTTAATATTATACATTCAAATTCTATATTCTCTTATACAAAATAATTTTGCATTGTTTGACCCCGAATCTTTAATTTATAATTATTAAATATCGTTTATCCTCCTCTTTAATTTATAATTATTTTTTTCTTCCTCTTTTTAAATAGGATCAATAGTAATTTGCACTTCCGTCATTAAGTGAATAAAACTCGAGGTCTATTTATAATAATGTTTCCGTGCCTCACACGGGGTACACACTAGTGTGCATAAAGGGGCCAACATTTTGTGGGCTGAAGTGAAACCAAAAAAAAAAAAACGAGGGAAAGGGATTTGATGACCCAAATAATTATTTTGTCCAACATCTACAAAACAGAGAATTAAATATGAAAAAAAAAAACGCCGCAGCCACCAAAAGCCAGAGATTAACCACGCAGAGCCAGGAAAAATAGGGAGAAAAAAATAGAGAGAGGGCAGATTGGAAAGCGGACAATCGCGGAGGGAGGTCGTACCCATACACAAGAACGATACTTTTATTTAATTTTTTTTTTCTTTTTTAGTTATTATGTTAGAGTAGTTTTTATTTCTAGTTATGAGTATGTTGAACCTTACGTACTTGATTATGTTTAATTAATTAGAGTGATTGTTTATTTTATTGTTTTTATGAAATTGTTTGTGTTATTTTGATTGATCAATCATGATGCGTTTGATTTATTTAGATTGATCACCTAGATAAGATTTTTCATGTCTAATGCTAGAATTGAATTTGCAATACGTAATTGTTGTTGAGTTTAATTCTTAAGTTGCAACTGAAAGCTAATAACTGTCGGGGATACCACAACCTAATTAATTGAACTGCGCGGTTGTGTTTACTACTTAGACTAACCTATTTTTCAATATCTAAAGCGGCTATTGCATTAAATCTAGAGAGTGTGTTCTACACAGTCCAATAAGTCAAGTTTAATCGTAGAGCATCTCTCAGTTAAATTAACATTAGAGAAAACGTCGGGTAGCAACGCGTGTTGTTATTTAAGACTAGTAATTTCGGAATATAGTGAAACTTGATGCCACAATTGATTAGATTAGTCGAGTGAGGGCTTAGACTGAACCGTGAACTAGAAAATTCTCTTATTTTATTTTATTTTATTTTATTTTTATTTTTATTTGTTTAGATTTTATTATTAAGATTTTAGTTATTCGATTAATATTTCCCCTATTTTATTGCTTTTATAAATTTAATTAATACGAGAAAAATCATAGTTCGATTCATACTTCTCGTGTGATCGACCTTTACTTATTGTTACTACTAGTTAGTGGAGCAAAATGTGACTAATATTTGTTAAGTTTAATTGTCATCCTTATTCTATTTATTATTGTTTTGTGATTTTAAAAGTTGATTGCTTATTAACATCAGTACTAAATTTATATTGAGTATACAGAAAAAANNAAAAAAAAAAAAAAAAAAATCCTAAAACAAAGTCAGTATATTGTTGATATTGTCATTATTTATGTGTTTAGATAATTTATTTTCCTCTCTCCCTACAATTTATGTCAAATTATTCTAATATTTATCATTCCTACAATTTATGCTATTATTTACTTTTCCCCTACAAATTATGCACTTTCCCCTACTCCAAAATCCAAATTCTGTATATATTTTTCTGTTTATTTTTCTTTTTTTATCAATTTATTCTAATAAAAATAAAGCTTCTTGCCAACCTAAAATTAACTCGTATATTTGTCATATGCTTATATATTATTTTGCAATACTTGTAGTCCGGATAGCTTGTAAATTCTAGCTCCGCCTTGGAATTTTAGTTCATAAGAAAATTCACCATAGAAATGTGCAGCTAGGGATTTTTGATGAAATGAACACAACAAAACCAATCATGAAAAACAAATTAGCAAAATAACCATTGATCCAAAATTTAATTAAAGAAATTTAAAAACCAACATTATCAAACAACGCAAGATTAGTTCTTTTTTCTTTTTCGTTATTAATTCAAAGTTTAATAATTTCAGCTAGTGATCATACCAATCCTCGTGAGGGCAATGTAAGCTACGAGCTGATACCCAAGCAACACAGCCATGGCGATCACGGACACGACACTACCATCGAGCCCGACAGTTGCCATCGCCGGAAAAATCCTCAAGTCGACAAATCTAGGCACGTGCTGAGCATAATGCCCGCTAGACAACAATTGTAAATTGTTAATTTAATTTTAATAAAATCAAACACAATATATTGAGGAAATATTTGGTCATAGAATTTAATATATATATATATATACATGTCCCCAATTTTAAATATTTCACCTTTTCTGAATACAAATGGAATTAATTATTCAGGTTTAGCGTTATATGGGTTGGAGAAATGATGAAAAATAAATATATTAATAATAATAATAATGCAGAAATTTTGACCAAACAAAGAGAAATTACATAAACCATATCTAGCTTGCAGCATTAAAAGAATTCAAATGAACTTATATGCATAACAAAAACACACCAAAATTTGGTTAAGGAAACCAAAAAAAATAAGAAAGTAATATATATTCACTTACTAATGGATACACCTTATTATCGATTCCTTGACACATATACAAGTTACATTTATAGACCGTTTAATTTGCTAAAACGAGAGAGAGAGAGAGAGGCGATACCCTGGAGGGGAGAGAGATGGGCATATTTTATAGCCGTTTGTTATAAGGACATCGGCTGGGCTCAGCTTATGGTGTCATTTCATAGTTTTTAAATATGACCCGGTAATCGACT